AATAAAATAAATAAATAAATAAATAAATAAATAAATAAATAAATAAATAAATAAATAAATAAATAAATAAATAAATAAATAAATAAATAAATAAATAAATGTCTAGGGCCAGATATACCCTACCAGATCCTGTGTTGCTCCTCTACCTTCACCGCCAGATATTTTTATTTTAAAAGCTTAATGGGAAAATCTCCCTGGCACTTTCTGGTGATAGTTTTAAAAATTCGGAGCGTGTGGAGACACAGAAGGCTTAATGGATCAAGGATGGCAAAATCACTTCCTGCCCTCTTTACGAGAACATGAGGGGGCTTTCCGAGAAACATTTTTCAAAACAAATTTAAACATTTTTGGTCCGTTGGGGATGCTTTTAAAAAATATCTATCTGCAACTAAATGCGTCAATAAATAGCCCAGAAAACAGTATGTCAAAACCTTTTTCTCCCGCAAAGCCCATTTCCCACAACATACTTAAGCGAAAAGCCGGTAATTTAAAGTGGGTTGTCTTCTGAAATTCTTATATTTTTTTTCCTTCCAAAAACCCATTTTTCCAGAGGGCCGACAGCGTTGATGGAATCCATTACTCATCTTTAACTCAGCCCATCCTTCTAGTTGCTTGGCATTTTTAAACCTTTGGACCCGTTTGACAGCGGCTGGAGCCGTTTTAGATCGACCCCAGTTCCGGATGTAGCCCACGGATGCACAGCTCCGGGATGTAGTTTCCTATGGCAACTAAGCTCGGCGTGGCATTTATTCCCTTTGCAAAGTCACTGGTGAGTAAAGAAACGGAAGCCCAGGCCTGAAAGTTTAACATCCTCAGAGAGTCACTGGTGAGTAAAGAAACGGAAGCCCCGGCCTGAAAGTTTAACCCAGCGGCTGTCTCTTCTGTGCCCTGCTTTCTTAACTATGGCAATTTTCCACGCCTCTTACATTTAACATTTTTTTCCCCACGATAATTTAAACAGAACGACGGAAACAGCAAGAGGCTAATCCTCAAAACTGGAGAGGCGAGCGTTCCATCTCCCTTTTTCCCCCAAACAGACCTGGAAGAAGGTCCGTGTGGCAAAATGTCTGTATATACTAAATAGAAGTCCCATTTACCTTAAAAGGCGGATGGGGCCAAATGAACTCCTGTGTCCAGAGACATGGAAAACTCTGTTGGCTCAAGACCAAACACTTAAGACATTGCGGGAAACCAACTTTAGGTCCTCACACACACAGCTCTTGAAGCAGAAGGTTGCCACAGATTCGGTCACGTTACGTCGATTCCCAACAGAAAAGTGCTCATGCTGAGTTACTGTATTTTTCTGTGTATAAGACTATATACTTTTGTCTAAAATCTTTAGACTAAACATCGAGGGTCGTCTTATACATGGAAGTAAGCTGAGGAGAGAACAAAAACAAGTGGAGGGGAAAGCAGGGATCAAAGCGATCCTGCAGCGCTTTGATCCCTTCCCCCCTGCACTTGATAAGCCCCACTTAGATTTCTTAGTTTTGCATATAGATGGTGGCATCTTATACACAGAAAAATGCGGTACGTGGTGACTTAATGTTTAAAAAGTTGCCTACAATCTTATGAAACCCAAAAGCCAGGGTAAATAAATGCATGTAACTAACTACGTGTAATTAATTCCTTTCCCTCACCCGACCAATAACGGAATTAAGTTAAATGATGTTTGGTTTGTAGCAAATGAGAATGTCAACCTTGGAACTGCAGA